ATTAAAGCGATATTTACAATTTATCCCACTAGCCCATTGCTTCGTAAAGGAAAATAAAATAATTACAATTTGGACCCGAATTTGTAAAAATAAAATCCCAGCAGATATAAATTTACTAGGTATTTTAGTTGATATTACAAATTTAATTGTATCTAATAATTAAGAAACTTGAAATTATTTTGAAAGAAACGTGTCAAAATTGAGGTTATTTCAAGTTACCTAATAAATAAATTCTACTATTTATACAGCAAATTCAGTCATTTAAAATCGAAAATTGTAATTTTTGCGCTGTCATAAAAATTTACTTTTCTCCGCGAGAAACGATGTGTTATACTGCCAAATATAATTACATCATAACACTATTATAATTTCCTGAAATATTAATAATTTTCTTAGTAAATATTTGTTAGATACCTCCTATTTTAGAAATATTATACAAATATTGTTTTATGTAAATGCAAGGGTATCTCAGCAGAGCTGAGCATTATGTATACCTACTACTAAGTACACATATTCTTTAAACATGTGTGCGTAAACTATACTGTTAGCATTATTACTCTTATAACGAAAGGATTCTTCCCTCTGTTCATAATAAATGCACCCTCGGACAAGGGTCAGTATTTCCCCTATTGGAACCCCCACCACGAACTTATGGGTGTACCCTTCGACTTGATACGGATTGGACAGTGGTCACTGGAAGAAAATATAGAATGCGTATTTGACATTCTTTATAAAATACAATTCGTTGATTATAATACAGGGTGTTTGCCATTTATGAATAATAGGCAACAACTCTAAGGAGAAAATCAAACCTAATATTGAAGAAACATGTCAAAATTGAGATTATTATTTTATGAGTTACCTAATAAATTCTACTATTTCTACAGGAATGAAGGTCTAGTCAGAGACATATTAGAGGCAGAAACAGGAGTCAAGAGGGGTAGAGGTAGACCTAGATTAGATTACTGTTCGCAAATAGTTAGGGATGTGGGATGTTCTAGTTTTAGGGAAATGCGAAGTTTAGCTTAGGATAGGAAACAGTGGATGTACGTGTCCAATCAGTCTTAGGACCGGTGATGCCGAATTTCCTCCCACAGGTAGTTTTGGTTAAAATATAGATGTCGAAATCTTTCCCGGGTACTAGCCGAGTTTCCTCCCGTTCATATCAACTCCGATAATTAACTTAACGACTTCTTACCGATTTTATTTACCGAAAATAAATACGGTAATGACGGTAATCCAGGATAAAAAGTCCTTAAATTGTTTTTAATATGCTGTTAAGCCCGGTGATGCCGAATTCCCTCCCGCAGATAGTTTTGGTTAAAATATAGATGTCCAATTCCCTCCCGGGTACTAGCCGATTTCCCTCCCGTTCATATCAACTCCGATAATTAACTTAACGACTACTTACCGATTTTATTTATCGAAAATAAATATATATTTATAGTGCACTTAAGTACTTCAGTAAATTAAAGATAAAATAATTTCAGAAAAAAAACACATATCAGTTATGAAATGTTTATTTATGTAATTTTAAAATGGTTTCCCACTACCTTGACAAATTCAATGTTTGGAAATTCGTGTGCGTCTAGCTTTTTGATGCAATCATCCAGAAAAGCTTTATTAGTTCTAGTTTGTCTTGTATTTGACCAATAGAAGGGTAGTCCGATAAAATTATTATTGTTATTGTGGTGTCTATAATATATGAATAATATTAAGATTAATATGTGATGTGAGGCTGTATTATTTAAACAACTCTCTATGACTTTAGGGAATTCGACATACCGAAAATTTTAACCCTAATTAAAAACAGGTATATGGGAGGGAAGTAGGCATTATCCCTTAGGACTAACGACCTTATGGTGATGAATCGAAAATTGTATTGTCATAAATGATGATGATTTTTACGTTTTTTTTTTAATAATTATTCTAAGCACAAATTTTTCTATTTACCTACACAATAATTGTCTTAAATGCTGAAATTTTCTGTCATAGATTCGAACTTGTCATTAAAAAATGAGTTTATTTCCTCATGCTATTCCTCTTTAGAAATCGAGTCTTTACAACAATAAATACATGTACGACAAAGAAGGAAGCGGAGCCAAGTGGAGCCAACACTCGTAGCGTCGTTGTCACTGGCTCGGCTATTTTCATGAGAACATTGCGCACCCATTTGAAAGAGTCTGATATGTGGAAATTCATGCACCAGTTAACGCTACAACAGATAATAACGTGTATACTTACGAATAAATTGATCCTAACAACGAACGCAACGGTCGATCGCTGTAGCCCTTTACCTCCTATTATACAGCCAGTCGATAGGGTCAGAATTTCTTTCTTATTATTACCTATTCAAGCAAAAGACATGCATATAGATTTATAAGACATCACAAAAACAATAAACAGTTAATCAGTACAATTGTATAGACGCAAATTAACTTTTAGTTGCACATTAAGGGTTGTATCACATCAAATACGGATGTTGTGTAACTTAATAAGATTGTATTGGAGTTGTTAGAGGACAGAGCAACGCTTGCGATTTTCTAGAATGTTCTCGCAGATTGGAAACTTCGATAGGTACAACTCGCCGAACTCTTATAATTTTCTTATTCTTTCTTCTTATTTTGTACACTCATTCTCTTTTTCGACTTGCTTGACTCAAAAGGAACTGAAGAAGCAATTCTTTTTCGACAGGTGACCATACATATGTTGAATTGATAACAAGAAAATATGAATTCAGGAAAGAATTAATCGAAGAAATGTCTGCAGGGGAGTGCATTCGTTAGTCAGTCTTAATGTCGTACGTTAATGTTACAATTTCTCCGTGTGACTCTTATAGTCTCAATCCCTCGGGTTTCTTTTTACTAAATCATTTTTAAAATCACATTTAGTAAGGCTTAACATAACCTTCAGGGGTATGCTAAGATGCGTTTATATGGACAGTTCGCAGTTAACACACGTCACGAAAATTATGCTTGCGAAGAAAACTTTTCGGTTTTCCTACGTATACAACAAATATGCTTGTAATCTATAATAACAGGTAGAAGAGAAGCAAAGCGCGCTTTCAACAATTTTAATATCGTCAGTCGTAAGCCCAGGGTTTCCCGCTGCCGACGACGACGCGGCACACGTTGCGACGCTCACGTCGTTTTATATAGAAAATTAATTTAAAAACGTGGCCAGCATGTCTGTGCGATTGGTTGTCGGTAGGATTTGTCTACCCGACCCCGACAACGACGGTGACGACGGCGTCGCGACGCTGCCTTCGGCTCTTCGGGGGGACAGTTGAGACGCGTCTCCCGGCAACCCTCCCTCTGTGACGTCACCCAGGTAACGAGTAGGTGCACCTCTTATACTACATATTATCCAGCAACAAGAGCTGTTCCCGGTTTTAAATAAAAAAAGAAGCAGGAAGAACATGCTACACTCATACAGGAAGAGTATCTATAATTCGCATTCAAATGCCACGAATGCAGCACGACGGAAATAATCTTGTTAGCAATGGATTTAAAATGTGCACAAAAGGAGGCTTCTTATTTTCTGTAATAGGATATAAATCGTGAAACATCTTCATAACACATAACAGATCGATATTAACGTCCTTATACATCCAGGAAATATGAAAGGAACATTTTTCATATTCTATTGTATAGAATTATTATGCTTTTCAAAAGTATTAAAACATTTTGCCAATGTTGATCATTGATGGAAGTATTTAATACAGTGTAAACTCTATATAACGACACTTGAGGGGCTGAACATTTTTCGGCGTTATAAAGAGTGGTCGTTAAATGGAGAGAAATAAATGATATTATTTTACTATTCTATAATAATATGCATTTACCAATATAGTACACATTTTGCACACGAACATTATTATTCATACCTACATTGCGTATAGCCTGTTATCTTCGTCTGATGTTTTTTGCTGCTCCAATATTTTAATTGTATTTTGTTACGTATCTTACTCATATCTTGAGATACTGCTGGATCAATTTGATTATATAAAAAGTATTTTTTTAATAGTTTCGCTGCATCAAGTGCTTGTTTGATGCTTGGTGGAGGGACAGGATCGTCTTCTTCAACAACGTACACAGCTGCAGTTCTTATCTATTTCGGCAACTTAGACAGTACTGCTCAATGATTTATAATGCCGCATTGTTGTCGTTAAATAGAGTGAGCGTGACGATATATAGAGTGGAATATTGTATAGAAAACAATGTAAACCAACCAAAGTCAAGCAATTTCGACGTTTTAAGGAGTTTGTCTTTAAATCGAGTGACGTTATAAAAAGTTTACACTGTATTTATAAACAGTGAAGCTTTAAGCTCATGGTCAAATGTTTGTTACTACTTACAGAAAATTAGTAATAGGTTCACGTGAGTTAATACAAACTACCAACAAAGTGATACGTGCCAAATAAGTTTTTTTTAAAGACAACCAATCTTTCGCCTCAGATTAGAGGCTTCATCAAGGTACTTTTAAAAGACAGTGATAATGCATTAACCAGCCGTAAATGCACCCCACCTTATCGCCTTATTACACTTATGAAAGCTTTTATATTTAACCATTTTTAATAATAAATTTTCACGCTTTACGGATCTTTCGTAAACAAAAAAAGAGAAAGCAATGTAAGTTGTCAAAGTTGAATATTGACACACATCCACTGTCATTCCAGGTTATAAAAAAACGCCCCAGTTTTAATTTCATAACCTGGAA